CCTATGATCTGTAATACAAATAATGTGATCTGATATACGAATAACTATAATAAATGTTATAAAATCAATTAATGTAATCAAATATTTATTTTTATCTTTTCCATTTTAAGGTAGGGAATCAGACACATTATTATAACATATAAAACTAAAGGAAAAAATGTACTTTTGTTTACTTTATTTACAGTTACCTTACTTGTTTACAGATATCAGCAATTGATGTCTGCTGTACCTATGACACTGCCTGTTCTCTTTTTAGATGAAATAGTCCTAGAAACAACTTGAATACAATGAAATAAAAGAATTTTAAAATAATACATTTGTTTTATTTTAACCTAGTAAGTAACTATAAATTCTATCTTGATAAAAGTGATTTTAAGAATCAATCTATAAAATAAATGCCATATTTAATTTAGATAGCTTTAGTTTTGTACCAAAAATGTTCATTTTCATTTTACATTTTCTTTAGTTGTGATGTGGTGGCCCGGAGGTTTAAGAAGCCCGCTTCTCATGCATGAGAGTGCGGGTTCGAAACCTACCAACAGCAAAGTACCAATGTGTCTTTTTTCCGAGTTATTCGTATATTAAATAATCTAAGAAAGTACAAAGAAACCTCTAACGAATTGTGAGGAAACATAGGCTTATAATTTCTTATTATAAGTTTGAATTACCAACCCACATTGAGCTTGTATGGTGATTAATGCTTAAACCTTCTCCATGCGAGAAGAGGCTTCGGTCAGCAGTGGCCACTTATAGACTTAATGATGAAAATGTTGACGATTCTACTAATTTGACTTACTTATTAGAAATTAAACCTTACACGCGTGCTAAGCAACCAGTTTTCAGAAGAAATACTTTCTCAAAGAGCTAAGCTTAAGTTTAAATCGAATTAACTTAAAGACTATTTGTATATCAGGCCTCTGCCTCGAATCTTGATTTTACACATTAAATCTTGCGTCTGCCCGCAAGATTCAAGGTGAAGTGAGAAATTAGTTTTATCATATCCGCCACAAGACTTTCACTGCTAAATGTAGGCCTTCTACCCAATGACAGTCGCTTACATTATGAATTTGCATTTTCGTAGGCACCTAAGAAATGAAAAAGATTGTGAGACATACTCTTTAAAACTCTATTGGTACATCATGCTTGCTGAATTAACAGGATCATTCCTAATAATACAAAGTGTAATAGTCACTTGAGTAGCGAGCAGTATTTAGATTTTTGTTTTTTGTAAACAACCACAAGAGAGCACATACATTGACATTTTTCCGTTAACTGTCATCTGTCATTTGTAATAGATTTAACGGTGGCTCTACACTTGACGTTGCGTATTTGTCGTGTTCGGCCAAAAAATAACATGTGTGGAGGATTTATTCTTCTTTGTTTGCTCTATATTTGCACGCCATTACATATAGAGATACTATTTGGACGCCATTTGTACGTAGTCTACAAATATTTTAACAAATGAAGCGACTACGCAATGTCAAGTGTGGTACCACCTTAACGTACCTTTTGCACATATTCAAAGTGAAATAACTTTTGAACCCCAAGTTCTAAAAATATGTAATTTTTTTCTAAACTTCTTAATAAAAATATCTATCGTTCAGACTATTCGCTTGGTTAAAACAATGACTAATACAAAATTTTAAAGCGGTACAAAACTTCCATACAAACCTGCCATTCTCCTTAAGCGTATTTTTTTATATTTTTTTAAAGTAGTATTCAATTCATTGACTGCCTCGTTGGCCGAGCGGTCGCAAGTGCGACTGTAGTGGCAAGGGGTCTCGGGTTCGATGCCCGGGTCGGGCAAAGTATTACTGGGTTTTTAAAAATCTCAGTAGTAGGACGGAGTCTGGAAATGTGCCCGGTATATGGAAATAGGCTAACCCCCTATTACACGGGACTCATAACATAAATAGTGAAAAGTGGGTGTTACATTGTACAGTGGCATTAAGTGCCAACATGTGCACCTCTGCCTACCCCTTCAGGGATATAAAGGTGTGATGCTATGTTATTCAATAAATTGTACACATACACTATACATTGTTTTGTTTTTTTTTTTAACTTTTGTGCATAAGAATTGTACTCAGTTTGCCAATGGACCCACACCCTGTTACATGGGGCTCATTACGTAACTTTTACTCCTAAAAACCAAATAAAATCTTGCATTTCTTTACTTAAAAAAAAACACGAAAAAAAAGAATCTTAAAAATTTTCCAACATGGCGAAAGTTGATTCCCATTTTGAATTAAAATGACAACCATTTTATTTGACGCACATCTGTCGCTAAAGCGCTATATCGCTTAAGCAATCTCCCGAGAATGAGTTCATCAGCTTCATAAACAAAAATGATAAACATTTATATAAAAAGCGCTGCAGCGCTTAAATCTAACAAAGGATTTTTATAGCGCCACAGACGTTTAGGCAATGTTTAGCTGGAATCGCTCCCGGGAGCCATGAATATCATTCTGAGCTTACATCGCCGACCAGAGAATTGTGTACATAACAATAAACATTTATAGTTATTTTTTCTCGTTTTCCAAGGGTCTTGATAAGTTTTTTAGGGTTTTTTATATGTGAATTGTGGTTTTAAATAGTAGTTTTGATGATTGGCTGCTTGTAGTTTAACTTGCAAATATTGCATTGAGTCTTTTACACAACGCTGAATAATTTTTTATCCGCACTGAAGTCACCCGTCAGCACAGGCTATATCTTTGATTTTTTAATTTGTATGTGTATTGTATTGTAACCTATTTTGTATTGAAAGTGAGAACTAGTGTTCAAGGTTAATATTTTGAGGTTATTTTCAAGTTGTCGATTAGTTTTATTTAAATGGCTGGGCCACTGGCTACCGCGCAACTTGTCGTGGGTTCTATTCTCGCGCAGAACGACTCTGTGCGATCTACAGATTGTTGTTCCGGGTCTGGGTGTCATGTGTGTGAACTTGTATGTTTGTAATCGCACCCACGATACAGGAGAAATTCTTAGTGAGGGGCAACAAAAAAAAGTCACACTGACTATATGAGTCAGTGTGACTTTTTGTTTTACTGGTTTTTTTTTAAATCTCAGTAGTAGCACGGAGTCTGGAATTGTGCTCGATATATGGCAATAGGCTTACCCCCTATTACATGGGATTCATAACATAAATAGTGAAAAATGGGTGTTACATTGTACAGTGGTATAATGTGCACCTCTGCCTACGTCTTCGGGAATAAAAGGCGTGATGTTATGGTGTTATGCCTTTCCAGTTTTTAGTGGATATTAATGTATCTACATTTGTTTGTAAAAAAATATATTGTTTTGATTTTTAATGCCAGAGTGGAATATTTTTATGTTATCTTCTAATTCTAACTAAAATATGAAACGAACTATAGGTTTATACGAGTACACTAACAATAGTACCTAAATAGAAAAAAAATACTGAATAAAAAATCGAATATCAGGAATCACAACAAATATGACAAACGTGAAGGAAAATTTGTTTGTACCTCAATTACATTTGTAGTAGTGTAATCCACTTAACATTAAGAATTTTTTACATTAGGAGATGAATAGGTACCTGCAATCGGAGAAGAATAATTGAATTCACGAGGGCAAAGCCTGGGTAAGAACTAGTTAATAATATCTTTTTTATTTATGCTTCATCCTACTTCCTACTAATATCTTATATACTATTATACAAAGCAGAAGAGTTTGCTTTTTTGTTTGTTAGTTTGTTTGAACGCGCTAATCTCAGGAACTACAAGTCTGATTTGAATAATTCTTTTTGTGTTGTGTAGCGCATTTATCGAGAATGGCTATAGGCTATAAAACATCACGCTACGACCAATAGGAGCTGAGCAGAGCGTGTGAAACCGCGTGAAAGTAGTGTAATATAAATGTGAAAGTTTATGTTTGTGCCTTACACCTTTACGTCAAAACAGCTGAAGGGTTTAGGATAAAATTTGACACAGGGGTAGGGGTAGATAATGATCTGAAATAATACATAGGCTACTTTTTATCCATAGCAACGCGGACGAAACCGCTGGCAGATGCTAGTACATGATATAAATTATTACATTATAATTAGGTGACATACAGAACCACACTTCATTTTCCAATGCACACTGCTTTGGCCTTTATAGTGCTAACGTTCATTGTACATACATACATAACATCAAGATTTTATCCTAATACGCAGAAGTGCACATTACGGCACTTAATGCCACTGGACAATGAACACCCACTTTTCACTTTTTATGTTATGATTCTCATGTAATAGGGGGTGAGCCTGTTGCCATATACCGGGCATACGTTTATTGTATATTTGTGAAAATAGAAAAGTGTAATGTCAAAATTAGGTATTCAACAGTTTTATGAGACAAAAATGGGTTACTTTTTATTTCTTTTTCTTTTGGCATTTTGTCGGATGAAGATAAGGTATTGAGCCGATTGGATTTGGATTAGTTACGTCAAATTGTTTGTTTGATTTGTTGTTTGTATTTGAGTAGTGTTATTGTTTTGTGAATTATTTATATTTTGAGTGTCTAAACACTTTTGGTATGTAACATTTATCTACATTTATTTAAAACAAATTCTAGCTTTTGTGTCCCTTAAATAGGAAATTATTATAAAACCTGAACTATTTTTCAAAAAGGCTAAAGGCTTTTGTATTATAGCAATATGAAATGTACTTATAAGACAAAATTGATCTAAAATACCTACCTATATTATAAGTTTCCATAAAAAAACTCTTCAAAAATAAATGAACTCAAATTGATTCAGATACTCCCCTCTTCAATAACATTATGAATCTCATTTCACGTTAACATTTAATATTCTGAATTTCTGAGACAATGAAAGCTTTATAATTATATCGCCCCAGTACCTTGACGGAAAATAATTTAATCTAAGATGTAAGATCGACATGAAAGCGGAGTACTTACAATAATGAAATAACAAATAAATAATTTCATATAAGTGACTTAATGTATGAATAAATAAATATTAATAATAATACTCACCGATAAAAACCAAAAAGAAACACCTCCATAATTTGAAATCCATTTCGAACACTGATTTTACAAAAACTAAAATAAAATAAACAAAAATAACTGAACACGAATTACCGAATTCATTTTTAAAATAATTAATTTATAAACTCATTTTGTCACACATTTCTCACATAAGAAGAACAAAAGACGTTCTTTTTTTGAAGTCGCGTGGTTTAGTTCGCGCGTTTTCGATGTTGTTCGGATACACGTCTGCTCTGTGACGTAGTTCGCGGCAAACTGAGGGTGGGTGGATGAATACTACGGAGACTCATCTGTACTATAAATATAGGTAGGTATGCATACGTACGTTTGAAATTGATGAAGCAATAGTTTTAGCACAGCGTGCGGTTGAATTTAGAATATTTGCTGAATGTGGTCGAATATAGGTTATTAGCAGATGAAGTTGGTTTGAGTTAATGTAGTTGGGAGTAAATATAGATCGAAATGGAAATGATATTGAATAATGTTTTCATTAGTAATCAAACGTTTGTTATTTTAAGTACCTATTTATTTCATAGTGGCTGATTAAGTTTGTGATAATCTAAGTAACGAATAAATTCAAATATTTTTCATACAAAATGTGTATATACCTAACTAAAATAGACTTTATGAAACAAGATCTTTTTGTAGTTTGTAACTAGGTTAAATTATACGTACCTATTGTAATAAAAAATTGTATGACAAGGGCACGACCAAGAGTCCAAACAACCTCTTTTATTCACAAGACTCTCCAAACTTCGAAGGGATAGGCAAAAAGGATTATGTGTGGGCGAGCCATGCATGTCGTGGTGGCCCGGAGGTTTAAGACGCCCACTTCTCATGCATGAGGGTGCGGGTTCGAAACCTACCAACGGCAAGTACCAATGTGACTTTTTCCGAGTTATATGTACTTTCTAAGATTATTTAGGCACCACTGACAAACGGTGAAGGAAAAACATCGTGAGGAAACCTGGACTTATAATTTCTAATTTCTCGTGTGAGAAGAGGCTTTGCCCAGCAGTGGGCATTTATAGGCTGATGATGATGATGATGATGATGATGAGCCATGCTTCGGCACGAATGGGCCGGCTCGACCGCAGTCATACCACGGCCCCACAGAACATCGACGTGAAACAACGTTTGCGTTGTATGAGTGACGTAACCGGCGGCCCAATAACCCCCCACCCCTTCCCTAATCTCTCCAATCCCTGAATCCCCACAATCCTCAAATTACTAAACCCCAAAAGGCCAGTAACGCACTTGTAACGCTTCTGGTTTTCACCTGAAAACCAGAAGCGTTACAAGTGCGTCTATGGGCGACGCCGATTGCTTACCATCAGGTAATCCATTCTGCTCGTTTACCAACTTATACCATATAAAAGTTTCGTTCATCAGTAAGTTTTGAGGTCCATATAAATAATATAGCAGCTACCATAATTAAGTGAACCAATTTAAACCAAGTAGAAGATTTAACCAAGAAATACCAATGTTTTTACCAAAAGCCGAAAAGTGTGTAAAGAAAACATATCAATATTATTTTTACAATTGAAAATGAACAATAAGATCTTCCCCATAAGGTTTTGTCTTGGGAATCAAATCGCTTTCCTCGGTTACATGTCGACAGGATTATAAGGTGTATGTAACAGTTCTATATTTGTATTCTCTCGAGTATAGAAGTCGGAATCGTTTCTACGACTCCCACTTGCAATGGTAACAATAGGGATTATTGCAGAAGTTTCACAAGTACGGTTTAGATTAAATATTTTCTATCACCTAAGTCAGCCAATACCCTGCCCGTGTACCAAATTTCTTAAAAATCCATTCTGTAGTTTCAGCGTGATTGACGGATAAACATCCAAACAAAGAAACGGTCTTTATTCTACCTGTGGTCAAATTTATAATACTAGTATGATACCTTACTGTGTAGTGATATCACAATAAATAATTATTAATTACGACTCCTTTTGTTCCCGCGTTTTTCGGTAGCACTCTGTAAATATTAATTATTTTTATTAAAGCTGTGTAATAATTCGTAGTAGTAAAGTAGGTTCTTCTAGGTAGGGATCACTAAAAAGTCTTTTTTTTTTTAAGGGCGGAAAATCATCGAATGACTGCTCCCGCCTGGGTGAGGCGGGAGGGAGTGTCAGACTCTTACTGACTGAAAACCACCCCGTTCCTTCTCCTGCACGTCGAGCCGGAGCCCCGGTTACCCGTTAGGTTCTCCGCGATTATCACTAAAAAGTCTAGGATTCTAAGGTTCTTTGCAGGATTTTAGTGTCGTACCAGACAGATTATATTCGACAATCATACTTTCAAGTGTATGTCACAGGAATACTAAAGCAGCTCTTCAGGATTTTCCGGATTCAAAGCTTTTGATAGTGCCATGAAAATAATCTTGCCTGGTATAGGTACGTGGTCATGTTCGGGCTTGGGTTTAACCCCTCGAGCGTCCTTATGAGCACCCGGTGGATCATAAGAAGAAATGCTCTATGCTGCTTTCTCTTTTATAAAATCTATTATTAATGTTTTGTTTTTATTTTGACTGTATTTGTTTTATTTCTATTGTAATGATCCTTGTTTTCGTGTGCCAATGGCCAAATAAATGCATTTTCTTGCATGCTTAAGGATAAGGAAGTGCATAAGGAACGCGGACGCTCGACGGGTTAAGACGCCCGCTTCTCATGCATGAGAGTGCGAGTTCGAAACCTATCAACGACAAGTGCCAATGTGACTTATTCCATTGTATATTATGTACTTTCTAAGATTATTTAGACACCACTGACAAACGGTGAAGGAAAACATCGTGAGGAAAGTCTTTGGTAGCCTTTGGTCAGCAGTGGCCACTTATAATTATGCTGTATGTATGTCACCATGGTTTACATAATATAAGTACTTAAATAATATGTAATGTTTTTGATACTGCCTCACCTGCAAAGGGTTTGTGTTCCACGTAAGGAAAAATTGTTAAAACTTTTTAGTGGTAATTTGCTTTCTTCCCCATTAACTACACCTACATGACTCTTAACATTACTCCAGAAATATTTACCCACATACAAGAAATACATCCATTATATGTACTTATACTATACCTACTAGCTGTTGACCGCGACTTCGTCCGCGTAGAATATGAGTTTTAGGACATAAGTTTTTCTTGGTTTCACTTTTCCAAAATTAAATTAGCCTATGTTACTCCTTCGTACATCATCTACTTAACTCGTCGAGTACCGGTTTTATAGACACAATTAAAGAACAATAGGTCGCGGTCACCGGTGACCGCTTGGTGTTTGACAGTTTAAAAAGCCAATAAAAGTCACGCCGAAATCGGTCCAGTCATTTTACAGATTAGCCCGTACAAACAGACAGACAGACAAAAATATGAAAACATGTTATTTTGGTATAGGTATCGTATGTATATTCATATGCACGAAGTAAAAAGCGGTTATTCCATCCTATTAAATCATTAATTATCCTATTAAAAACAGACAATCCAATTTAATTTATCTCTATAGATGATCAAATCTGCCGACCTCTTCTGGGTTTTAAAAGACCTGACATTATGTATGTCATAGAGTCAGGTAAGCAAAGAAACCATTCCACTCAAAAATATACCCAACAACATACATTCTCCCTCAGAACTACGGAAAACACTTTAAAAATTTTAATATTCATAAAACTACAACCTAGGTTTTTTAGCTAAAAACCTAATGCATTACAGCAAACTATAAAAATAGTACACCTGCACCACTTAAGTTCAGCACTTAAGCTGCCATCCTTTACCCAAACCACTCCCTTACACATGAAGGAATAAGAGTCATAATCGCACGATCTAATTAAAATATCACATGTACCAATTCTGCTATAAAGACAACCACGTTGTAATGTCGGTGGCAGATGTTGCAGGCGGCCATTACTGTATGTCATCTTTTGTAGGGATGTGGTAACGTCGATAGATTTTTTAATTAAGTTTTAAAATATTATATTATAGGAAGTTTGTTCGTCTGTTTAAGGAATTTTAATAAAGAAAGGATGTTACCGACTAAATACAGGTTGCAAAAAAATCAATCTCAGTAGTAGCACAGAGTCTGGAAATATGCCCGGTATATAGCAAAAGGCTCACCCTTTATTATTACATGGGACTCATAAAATAAATAGTGAAAGTGGGTGTTATATTGTACAGTACAGTATTAAGTGCCGGAATGTCCACCTCTACCTAGTTCTAATCCTAATCTCTAAGTAGTTATGTGTGCCCACAACTCAGCATGCCAAACATCGACAAAATCGATACCTAAACCTTTCCTCAAAAAACTATCGACTGCCTCCCCATCCCTAAGCCATCTAGCTGTCTAAAAGCTATTAGCAGTTGGCGACGAAGCCACCTGTGTCTGTCATTTCCTTACGAGAGATTACATACAAGCATTAAGTCGCATAGTCGTTGTATAGACGTGTTTCAACCAATTACTTGGTCCATACGACTTGAGGAAATTGCTTGAAAAATCACGAATTTTCAAGTTGGCTGTTTTGTTTTTTTTTTTAAGTAGAGAGTCTGATTCTTTGATAGTATTTTGAGGTTTATCTGCTTTGAGGTTGAGTTTCAAGCATTGCTTGTTTTTACCGACTTCAAAAAAGGAGGAGGTACTATGTTCGGCTGATTGTTTTTTTTTGAGGTTAAAAGTACCCACTGAGGTTAGAAGTCGGTGCCATAAGCTCATATCATAATGATAAAACTACTGGCTACAAAATTGTTAATTAGGTAGGTATCTATTAAGGTTTTAATGAATAATTTTGTATAGAACTTATGGCGCCCACTTCTAACCTCTGTGGGTGGGTAACCTATCAATAATAATGATAGTTATTTTTTTTTCTTTTTAGTTTTGACTTTTTGTTTGTTACTAGTTTTTGGTTTTTTTGAAGTCGGTTTTTAAAAAGCAGTTTTTATTTTATTATTAATTGTACGTTTATAATGTTTTTCTAGGGAAATGCAACTACATTTACCAATAATTATGATATTAACCATTTTTATGATAGAACCGTGAG